CTTGCATAATCAAGTATGCTACTAATGAACCATACAGCGATATATAAAGAACAAAGGCTAAACATAAATGTACATTATTTCCCTGTTTTCCTCAGGATTCAGTAGAGGTAAAGGAAAATTCAGTGGAAGATCACCCATATTTATAGAATTTTTGGGGGCATCCTCTATGTTTGTATGTGAATTCTTCACTCTTTAATGGTGAGATTTATTGCCTCTCTCCAGTGCCTGCTTCCAGGGAACCTGTCCTGTTAAACCGCTTTATGGTCTTGGCCCCCGTGCTAAAGCTCAGTTTCAGGGTTTCGGCAATCTTCTTATAGCCTAGGCCATCTTTATGTAGAGCAACAATTCTTTTTTTTCAGATCCTCAGAGTTCTTTGCCATGAGGTGCCATGTTGAACTTCCAGTGACCAGTATGAGAGAGTGAGAGCGACAACACCAAATTTAACACACCTGCTCCCCATTCACACCTGAGACCTTGTAACACTAACGAGTCACATGACACCGGGGAGGGAAAATGGCTAATGGGTCCAATTTGGACATTGTCACTTAGGGGTGTACTCCCTTTTGTTGCCAGCGGTTTAGACATTAATGGCGGTGCGTTGAGTTATTTTTAGGGGACAGCAAATTTACACTGTTATACAAGCTGTACACTCACTACTTTACATTGTAGCAAAGTGTCATTTCTTCAGTGTTGTCACATAAAAAGATAGAATAAAATATTTATACAAATGTGAGGGTTGTACTCACATCTGTGGAAAACACACACACACACACACACACACACACACACACACACACACACGGGGAGGACCAGACCTGGGGTGTATACAGAGGGGAGGTTTATACCTTGGGTGTATATAGGGGGGAGGACCAGACCTGGGGCATATACAGTGCCTTGAAAAAATATTCACACCGCTTGAAATTTTCCACATTTTGTCATGTAACAACCAAAAACGTAAATGTATTTTATTGGGATTTTATGTGATAGACCAACACAAAGTGGCACATAATTGTGAAGTGGAAGAAAAATTATAAATGGCTCTCAAAATTTCTTACAAATACATATCTGAAAAGTGTGGCGTGTATTTGTATTCACCCCTAACTAAAATCTAGTGGAACCAATTGCCTTTAGAAGTCACCTAATTAGTAAACATAGTCCACCTGTGTGCAATTTAATCGCATTATAAATACAGCTGTTCTGTGAAGCTCTCAGAGGTTTGTTAGAGAACATTAGTGAATGAACAGCATCATGAAGGCCAAGGAACACACCAGACAAGTCAGGGATAAAGTTGTGGAGAAGCTTACGCCCCTTGACACCGATCGCACGGAAATTAGCGGCCTCACAGAATTGGGCTTTTTTCCATGGGGATGCTAGTTTACGTACCTGTCATTCTGTTGAAAGCGCGCTGCATGGCACGCTCCCAGCACAAAAGACCGGGGTGTCACTGAGAGCCCTGGGTTCCATTCTAACGCCACACTTTTCAGATATTTGTAAAAAAATGTTGAAAACCATTTATCATTTTGTGTTGGTCTATCACATAAAATCCCTATAAAATACATTTACGTTTTTGGTTGTAACATGACAAAATGTGAAAAATTTCAAGAGGTTTGAATACTTTTTCAAGGCACTGTATAGAGGGGGATGACAGGACAAGTGTGTATACCAAGCCAAGGTCAGGTAGACCAAGAAAGATTGCAGCTACAACTGACAGAGAAGAATTGTCTGGGATTCAAAGAAAAACCCACAGGCAACCTCAAAAGAAATAAAGGCTGCTCTGGAAAAAGATGGTGTGGTTGTTTTTAAGGAGTACAATACGGTGATACTTGAACAAAAATTAGCGGTTTCTTTCTGGCACCTCGACCATGCAGCTCATTTTTGTTCAAGTGTCATCATATTGTGCTCCTTTAAAACAACCACACTATCTTTTTCCAGAGCAGCCTGTATTTTTCATGTGGTTACCTACGGGTTTCCCTTTGTATCCCGAACAATTCTTCTGGCAGTTATGGCTGCAATCTTTTTTGGTCTACATGCCCTTGGCTTGGTATCAAGAGATCCCCGAACTTTCCACTTCTTAATAGGTGATTTAACAGTACTGACTGGCATATTCAAGGCTTTGGACATCTTTTTATGTCCTTTTCCATCTTTATAAAATTCCATTACCTTGTTACGCAGGACTTTTGACAGTTCTTTTCTGATCCCCATGGCTCAGTAAATCTAGCCTAGTCAGTGCTTCCACGTAAGAGCCAACAAACTCATTGACTGTTTATACACTGATACTAACTGCAATTTAAAAAGCCACAGATGTGGGACATTAACCTCTAATTGGCAATTTAACCCTTGTGTGTCACCTTGTGTGTCTGTACCAAGGCCAAACATTCCAGGGGATGTAAACTTTTGATCATGGTCATTTGGGTGATTTTGGTTATCAGTATAATTTTAAAAAGAAGCCAAACAACTATTTGATAATAAATGGCTTCATATGATCATCATCCTTCAATAAAAGCATTTTTTGGCCTGATCAGTCATATTTTCAATATCAATGCCAAAATATAACAATTTCTGCCAGGGTATGCAAACTTTTGAGCACAACTGTACATTTTTGACACTTTATAACTAATGTATGTTGTTTGTTGAGGTTTGGAACAAGACTGTTATTGATGTACTAGTTTGAATAGCACTATAATAATTCCTAAAGGGGTAGTGCAACACAATTTTTTTACTTGTTTTTATTTTACCTTGCATTCAGTTGAGACTCCCACCTGACTGATGTTATGCATTTTATTTCCACCTCAATGTGAGTTGCGAATTGTCTTTCAATAAATGGTATAATACCCACTGTGCACACTCTGCTGTGTTAGATATGGAAAATAACCAGAAATTATGCGCCAAAGTACACCAAAAGACAACATTCCATCTCATCATCAGCAATGCACTCATCAAGAATACAATGCACTGTTGTGTCACAGACTGAAACCTAACGCGTGGCAATGTTACAAAACATACAGTTTCAAAGTTTATGGCAGACACTCTCAATGAGTATTTCTCAATAGCTTGCTGTCACTTTGACCTCTTTAGGCAGCCAACACTGCAATACCCGAATGGTTGAATCACACATTTTTCCTTCTAGCGTTGTTGCTGGCAAATTCCGAGATGGCAACTCTTACTCATGGTAATGAAAGAACAGGAATACCTTTACATGTTTCCATACTGAATGATGCCAAGCAGTATCCTGGCCATTTCTATATTAAAGGGAATGAACAAAGTAACTGGTTCTCTTGAAAGAACAAACCCCACCCACTGATTAGAGGCTAAAACGTATGTAAGCTCCATATCAGAGCTTACACAGGGTTAATGGCCTTTTCCCCTCCCCACAGTGTTCAGGCCTGGCAACTGGCTACTCAAGTCTGAGCACTGCAACCAGAGAGGAAAGGGAGAAGGTGTCATGCCTCCATACCTGGGAGTGCCAGGTGTTTACTAAGGGAGGTGGGGGAGTGCAGGAAAGGCAAGTATCAGTGGGTGGAGGGTGCCCTATCAAAACCTGTTACTTTGCCCTTAATGGATGATTTTATTTCCCATTAATCAACCTGCTCTTCTCTGCAGTCTTTTCACATCTATGTCCCTTTTGTGAACTGGTGCTTCAAATATTAGGCCTTCCTAATGCTTTTCATAGAGGAACACTGTGTCTCTCCGGCACTCTCATCTATGCTTATTCAAGAGCTAGAATAGAAGCTGCAGCTGCCCAGTACCCAATTAAAGATTCCCCTATCTTTGAGACACACTCATTTCCCAGCAGGTAACCCACGGTGGGTTAGGTGTGCAAACTTGGACAACGTCAAAGCTTTGCCTGTCAGAGTGGCCTTAAAGCAAGCTGTAAAATTAGGGTATAAATCTGATACACCCCTAGGTGCTTGAATTGCATGCTTGCAGCAGTTTTTTTTTCTTAAAAGGATTCTCAGAAAGACTTCTTATGCTAAATTTTTTTTTTTTAAAACCTCTTGCCAACCGCGCTGTAGCTGTCCTGGGAGGGCGTCATGACGTTCTCCCAGAACGTGCCCTGGGCGATCTCCATGATTGCTGTGTCCTACGGACACAGCTGATGACGTGATGTGGTAAAAGTGTCCAGCAGATCACTGGTAAATGCCGTTGCCGGTTATTGGCCGCACTTTCCTCATGCTGTCAAAGCGTGATGAAAATACTGGCAATAACTGGCAATTGTCAGAGGATTGGATCAGCACCGATCATCAGGGCACGGATGATTGGTGCCCAGATGATCGGTGCCCAGCAGTGCCACCTACCAGTGCCACCCACCGTTGCCCATCAGTGCTGCTATCAGTGCCCATCAGTGCTGCCTATCATTCAGTACTGCCTATCAGTGCCCATCAGTGCTGCCTATCAGTGCAGCCTCATCAACGCACATCAGTGAAGGAGAAAAATTACCTGTTTGCAAAATTTTATAATAGAAGCAAAGTAAAACATTTTTTTTCAAATTTTTTGCTTTTTTTGTTTATCGCACAAAAAACAAAACACCCAGCGGCGAGTAAATACCACCAAAAGAAAGCTCTATTTGCGTGAAAAAAATGATAAAAATTTCATATGGGTACAATGTTGCATGACCGTGCAATTGTCATTCAAACTGCAACAGTGCTGAAAGCTGAAAATTGGCCTGGGCAGAAAGGGGGTATAAGTGCCCGGTAGGTAAGTAGTTAAAGTGTGCTACATGTAATGTCTGTGCAAAATACTGAACCCAATGCAACAAATCAGCAGTCATAGAATGCGGAATACTGCAACAGACTGCAAGCCCATCCAGAATCTCTCATTGAGTCTGCCTGCAAGGGGTCATGGAATTGCAATTCAAATTAAGTTAATCCAAGTGGACCTTCTTACGGTGTAGATTTGCAATGTTCCTGCACTGCATAAAAAGCAGATTTCTCATCAATTGTATTTGCTGTATAAAACTGCTTATAGTGAGAGCTGAACTTGAACCTGTCCTAAATACTTACAGGAGAATCATTACTAGAGATTGAAGCAGTTTCTTTGGCAAAAGATGGAGTGAAGGAAGCTTCACGGTCACTTGAGCTGCTCAGTGAAGAGGAGTCTAAGTAGTCTGGTTCAGGAAGAACCATGCTATTCTTCTCAACAAGATTGGCTGAGCTGAGACTTCTCACTGGGACGGGACTGGGATTCATGCTAGAGAAGAGAACAGAGAATGATTATTAGAAAAATAGTAACTCACCGCGATGTGGGAATTTGGTATCCCACATACTATTGTTTGTGTTTAATACCTTGCATAAAGCAGCACCAGAGTCGCAAAGTCATCATAACACCAGTGTGCCAGCTGCTTGTTCTTCCATACAAAACAGTCGTAGACCTCTGACAACATGACATAGCCTGCAGGGAGGCATGTTTTAGGTGTGGCATCAAAGCTTGTCTGAATATCACACCCATATACACATTTGCTGCCTAGCATAATGTTTGTGGTTGTGTAAAACATGGCTGGGTGTACAATTATAATGCATAGACTGTTTGTGTTCAGTCACTAAGCCTACAATATCTTGCAGTAGTTGATAAACATTGAAACACATCAAGGTCATTATGTGTATGTATGGATAAGCTATAAAGCAATGAAAATAGCAGTGAAGATCTGTAAAGTGTGTAAATCCCATACCAACCAAACTGATATCATAATGTTGAACTGTGATGACAGAAACATACATATTGATTAGTTGCTATGGGTTAATATAAACCACTTACCATCCACTCTATAGTACGGCTACAGGGCAGCACGACTGTGCAAAATCACATATATATCATGTGATTTGCATTTCTGCATAGGGGGTGTGCACGTGCCGCCCTATCCGCGCCACTATTGGTGGCTGGGGATGTCAATCGCTGGGTCCTGGCTGGCAATTCCCAAAGCTGACACAGGGGAGAGACCTGTGTGTAAGCACCACAGGTCTCTCTCCTATCAGCAGAGACCAGGGGCGGACAATTCATGGGGCCCCCGGGCAATAGGGGATCATGGAGCCCGTGTCCTTGCCCAAACTCAAAAAAGCCTACGAAAAAGGTACCAGGGGCATCTCATGGGGCCCCCTACTGATCCTGGGCCCTCGGGCAGTACCCGAGTTTCCAAATGGTCAGTCCACCCCTGGCAGGGACATACTGCTTTATATTTCTCTGCACAGCAGACAGATACAAAGCAGGATGTCAACCAAGTAAAACAGAACACAATGTAAAACACATACAGCACACAGTTTACCCAGATGTTAACCCCTTCCTGCCCAGTGTCATTAGTACAGTGTCAGTGCTTTTTATTAGCAGTGATCACTGTATTAGTGTCACTGGGGATGTCAGTGGCAGTTAGTCAGTTTCCACCTAGTGCCAGAATGCCCGCCGCAGTCCCCCTATAAAAGTAAATGGTCACTGCCATTACTACGGTAATATAAAACAAAAAAAAAAAAATTCCAGTATATATACTGCCATTTGTAGACGCTATAACTTTCATGTAAACCAATATAGAATTATTGGGATTTTAATTTTTTTTTGATATGTAGCAGAATACATTTTGGCCCAAATTTACAAAGAAATTTGATTTTTTTTTTAAACTTTTTTACTGGATAAGTTCTGTAGAACAAAATATAAATTATATATATATATATATATATATATATATATATATAAAAAGAGGGCGCATATATATATACAATTATCCCTGATAAATATATATATATATATATATATATATGTAAAAAGGTGTGCGCTCCTGCGCTCCAAATATTGTGTTTAAACAATTAAACCCTTAATAAATATGAACCCATACAGCTGCAAGCATAAATCATATACCAGTGATCAAGTGATGAATATAAACCAAAAATGCTGCGCTACAAAGCAAATTAAAGTGAATGTGGAATCCAAAACAAATCTAATATAGTGACAATAAAATGGTGAATAAATATAAAAGTGCTTGATAATCCGGTGATCAAAAATCATCTGAATCAAACACCCAAAAGATGAAAAAACAAAAACTTAAATCTATACGCATGTGCATATTACACATACATATAGTTACATCACACGTGCAAATGTGAAGTGAAATAATATTTACTTATTAGGCGAAATGGTCCAATATATAAATGTAAAGGTGAAAAAATGTAAACAGTGTTTCCAATAATATTATAAAGTGACCACAGGTGAAACAAATCGTGCAGGTATCTGAGTGTAGATAGAACTTGTGAATCCAACCACCTCTGGATTGCCTCTCACCTCATCACTTCGCTCTGCGGATCAAAGAGCAATAATGGATCCCTCAGCAAGATCCCCTCCAGGCACCACAGCACTCCAGAAACGCTTTTCAGAATTCAATATTCCGGAAACTCTTCTCCAGGTATAGATGAAATATCAAAGTGTGTTTCCTCAAGGACTGCAAACAAACAGCTCACTGACCATAAAGGTGTACAAAGATGGCCGCCGCTCCATGCGGTGGCGTGATTCAGGGGTAAACAGAGCTCCTCATTCTTTCAGCCCCATAGGCGGTCCATTTCTGCCAGAAAAAAGTCACTCCCTCGTTTAAAGGAACCATAGGGAGTGTGTCAGCTCCCTATGAATACGTGCATTTAGCACGAAACGCGTCAGTGTAAGAGCAGCATACCCCAGACATCACGCCACCGCATGGAGCGGCGGCCATCTTTGTACACCTTTATGGTCAGTTTTGTTTGTTCAGTCCTTGTCTTTGTTTTGGATCAATAAATTTCTCCGTTTAAAAACGATATCACACCATCCTGGCTTTCTTTCTTGGGACCTTGCTGAGTCCATTACCCGCAGAGCCACCTGGGGAGACAGCTGAGAGGTGTTTTAGTGTGGAAACACACGATCCATAAGGAGAACTCGGATGGACAGATGTGCCTAGACAATGATCCTATGATGCCATATCCGATTTTGAGATAACTTCGCTTGGATATCGGGATATCATCTACATGCATATTTGAGTTATGCATCTGGTGAGTGCATGATTCAGTTGATTTTGATCACCGGAAGACGCACGTTTTTGGATCACCATTTTATTATTTATTATTTTTTAAGGACTTTTTAATGCTTTTTTGCACAATGTTTGGCACATATTAATCACACATTCTTATATATATGTTGCTATATGTATATTTATCAGGGATAATTGTATTTCTCCTAGCGCTGCGCCCTCTTTTTACATGTTCTTTGTAGGGTTTTTTTGGTACCTATTGGCGCATAGCAGCTCCTTATCTAGCGCTCACTTCCATTTTCCTTTGATTTAATATATATATATATATATATATATATATATATATATATATATATATATATATATATATATATATATTTTTTTTTTTTTTTTTTTTTTTTCAAACTTGTCAGTCTTTTTTGTTTATAGTGCTAAAAAAAATACAAAAACCGCAGAGGTGATCAAATATCACCAAAAGAAAGCTCTGTTTGTGGGAAAAAAATGACAAAATTTCATTTGGGTTCAGTGTTGCATGACCGTGCAATTATCAGTTAACGTAACAGAGTCGTATCGCAAAAAATGGCCAGGTCAGTAAGGGGGGTAAATCCTCTGGAAGGCAAGTGGTAAGCACTGACCATTACACATTTCAAAATATCCATTTTTAAAGAGCAGTGAAGATTTTTAGTATTGCATGGCATACCTTGGCACCTGTATTGCTTCTCTTCCATTCTCTTCCAATGGTCTGGAATAGGATGATGGGAACCAGCCTTTGCTGCAAACAGAACGATATTATATGAGATAAAATAGCAATCTTTCTGCACAAAACAGGTAGGCCTTGTTTATACCAGCACTGCTTTGTAATGAGTGATCTGCAGTGGATTGCTTTTCACAGAGCGGTGGAAGTGATGCTGACAGACATTCAGTAGGCAATACTGAAACCTCTGAGTGCCTTTTTTTTTTTTGTTTGTTTTTCTAACAGTGAAACAAGCTTTTTGAATTGGAAAACTGTGGCGTGACTGTGATCCTAGTGCCTGACCTGCAGTTGCGGCGCAACTCCGTTTGCTTAAGTGTAAACTAAGCCATATGATATTCAGAGTAACAAATGGCCCTGCAGCAAGGAATAGAATGACTAAATACATAGGCAGCCCATGAGATCATATTGTTTAAAGCAATATTAAACTCAAAACCAAAAATGTATTATATTGAAAATTACCAATCATTAGATGTGGTGGCTACATTAGTTTTTTTTCACCTATTAGTTATTAATATGTTTTCACATATTAGAGTGCCCCCCACCTGGATGAAAGAGCACAGGGGCACGTTTGGACAGCAGCATCGCCAGTCTGGGGGGAGGGGAGTGTTAGATATACTAGCAGGTTTAAATACACTAACAAATAAAGCCAGACTTCAGCTCACACTGCAGTTACACAATCAGTTGCAGCAACACAATACTACATCTGCAAGAGAGCTTGTTCTGTTGAAAAACAAAAGATTTGACCCGACCCATACTTGTTATCAAATTCAGCCAGTTCAGCAGGCACCAGCCAAATTTCAATCCATCTATGGGCAGGCTAGTTGTATACATGCCAAACAACCAGCCTGTTGGGTTTTTCCCTGAACAATCAGTGCTGCTGGCAACAATGACTGCTGTATTCTGGTGGTGGGGTAGTCTTCCCCACTACCAGAATACAATACCACAGCGGGAGGGATTCCTCCATCCACATTTGATTGTGTGGATTGGGCAATCTATGCATCTTTTTTCGTTCACGTCGCTAGCTGAAGGAAAAAAAATTACATAATGTATGGGCTGCCTAGATGTCAGCATCACCAGGTGAAAATAAAGGAAAGAAAGCCTGAAAAGGAAAACAAATACAGCTATCCCATCTAAGAATTGGCAAGCTGCAATATAATAAAAGGTTTGCTTTTGGGTTTAATACTGCTTTAAAAATGTGTTATCTGTATAGTGAGGTGAATTTGAGTTCACCAGATTCAATAACCTAAAGAAAATGCACTCTTTTCTGCCAGATACAAAGAAAAAGATTTGTATAAAAAAAAAACAAAATATAATAAATACATATATTTTTGAAAGCCAATTGGTATTTAAGGCAAAAAAAAAAAAAAAAAAAAAAATAGTGCACAATGCTTTAAAAAAAAAAATAAAATAGCGCATAATTGTGACCTCTTAAATAATCTCCAGCATTGTTTTGCAACTAAGTGTAATCTTGTTCTATAATGATATGCTCATAAAACAGGCTAATTTAGTATGACAAACCGCAACCTGCAAAGTTCAGTATCCCATAGCAACCAGAGTTCATCTGTCAGTGAACATATTACATTTGGTATAAATCTGACTGGCTGCCCCAGGTTTCAGCTAAATGTGTGATCTGTATTGCCTTAATAAATAACAGTGTCAATGCAAAATTTTGGTTTTATAAAGAGGGAATATGTGTAACTGTGGCAAAATCAACAAAAAAAGTAGCAACAATTGGAAAAAGCAATTATAACAGAGAAGAGAAAAGAAAGTGCCATGCTAAGAAGTCTACGATGACGCACAGAGACCCTACACTAGGAGCAGCTGCTATGCTGGCTTCACTTCCTAGATTTAACTGAAAAATAGAGTCACCCCCAGAACATCACTAACCTTAACATCCCCCCTCCCCCAACATAAAACTACGAAAGGATGATATTCCTGTTGCAAGACAGATGAAGAGTAATCTTGTTAGTAACAGGGTGAACTCCTATTCTATATGAATTGCACAGTGAAAATAAAATATAGTAGGGGGAAAAAAAAGAAGAGGTAAGGAAAAGACAGTAGTGCCAACTTTTATAAATCATTTGAAAGGATGGATGCCGTTAAACTCTTGAAAAAAAAATCCCATTTCTTATACACTATATTGCCAAAAGTATTGGGACACACCTCCAAAGCATTGGATTCAGGTATTCCACTCACCTCCATGGCCACAGATGTTGTCAGGGATCCCTCCTCCGTGCAGCCGTGCGTCGGATCCCGTCTGGCCGTGGCGGTGCGGGAGCGCATGTGCAGGAGCATGCGAGTGCGCGCATGTGCTCTAGCATACACATCACTGCAAGGTGGGCTATTTAAATCTCTAGTACAGTTTAGGCTATGCCTTCTGGTTTATAACGTTCTGCACTCCATAACCAGATTCTGTTGCCTGTATCTGATCTGACCTAAGAAAGAACTCTGCCTGCACCGACCCCGGCTTATCTCTGACTATCCGCTTGCCTGTTCCCTTGTACCTGATTTGCTCATTTGATCCTGACCCGGCTTGTCTGACACTGCTGCACATACATACCTGTATCTGCACCTGCCTGTATCCTTTTTGCCACCATACTTACCTGCTGCTGCACCTACGATCCTCCACCTGGCCTGCATCTCAGTGACCGCCATACCTGACTGCTGCCGCATCTACGCTCCTGTGTCCGTTCCTGGTCTGCATCCTGGTTGCTGCCATACCTACCTGCTGCTGCACCCACGTTTCTGCATCCGCACCTGGCCTGCATCCGGATCTTCTGGGGCTTTACCTGCCTACCATCAGCTCCAGACCCACCCAGCCACTCCTGGCTCAGCGCCCTCTGTTCCCACTATCAGTGGCTCTGAGCGGGAGTAGTAAGAGGACGCCTCCTCTCCACGTCAGGCTCCCCAACCAGGTACATGACAGATGTATAACATCAAGCACCTAGGCATGCAGACTGCTTCTACAAACATTTTTGAAAGAATGGTTCGCTCTCAGGAGCTCAGTGAATTCAAGCGTGGTACCGTGACAGGCTGCCACCTGTGCAATAAGTCCATCCATGAAATTTCCTTGCTATTAAATATTCCACGGTCAACTGTTAGTAGTATTATAACAAAGTGGAAGCAACTGGGAACAGCAACTCAGCCACCAAGTGGTAGGCCACATAAGATGACAGAACGGGGTCAGCATATGTTGAAATGTACAGAGCACAGAAGTCGCCAACTGTCTGCAGAATCAATAGCTAATGACCTCCAAACTTCATGTGGCCTTTGGATTAGCACAACAATAGTGCGTAGAGAGCTTCATGGAATAAGTTTCCATGGCCGAAAAGCTGCATCTAAGCCTCACCAAGTGCAACGCAATCCGTTGGATGCAGTGGTGTAAAGCACGCTGCCACTGGACTCTACAGCAGTGGAGATGTGTTCGCTGGAGTGACGAATCACACTTCTCTGTCTGGCAATCTAATGGACGTGTCTGGGTTTTGCAATTGCCAGGATAACGGTACTTGCTTGACTGCATTGCGCTAAGTGTAAAGTTTGGTGGAGGGAGGATTATGGTGTGGGGTTGTGTTTCAGGGGTTGGGCTTGGCCCCTTAGTTCCAGTGAAGGGAACTCTTAAGGCGTCAGCATACCAAGACATTTTGGACAGTTTCATGCTCCCAACTTTGTGGGAACAGTTTGGGGATGACCCCTTCCTGTTCCAACATGACTGTACACCAGTGCACAAAGCAAGGTCCATAAAGGATGAGCGAGTTTGGTGTTAAGGAAGTTGACTGGCCTGATAGAGTCCTGACCTCAACCCGATAGAACACCTTTGGGATGAATTAGAGCGGAGACTGTGAGCCAGGCCTTCTCGTCTGACATCAGTGCCTGACCTCACAAATGCGCTTCTGGAAGAATAATCAAACATTCCCATAGACACACTCCTAAACCTTGTGGACGGCCTTCCCAGAAGAGTTGAAGCTGTTATAGCTGCAAAAGGTGGGCCAACGCGATACTGAACCCTACGGACTAAGGCTGGGATGTCACTAATGTTCATGTAAAGGCAGGCGTCCCAATACTTTTGGCAATATAGTGTATATCTGAATAAGCCAGTAGAGCATTCATGATAAAACTTTAGCCTACTAATATTACGAATAGTATAGACTATATTATCATTTTAGATTGCCAATTTCTATTTTCTCTGCACTATGAAATCTGGCCACAAGATGGTGCCATATAATGTCAGAATCAGGATGCTACATTTTTCAGCAGGCTTTGCTCATCAATGATGATTCCTATTCAAGAAGGCCTATCCTAAGGGAAACGCATGGACTGTCATGCATGGACGGTCTTTGCAGTCTCTCCTGACAAAGATGTATGCCTGGTTGTTTGTAATTTTTTTTCTGGCTTTCTAATGAGGCACCAACCTGGAAAAAGTATGCAAATCAGACAGACTGGATCACAAAGTCAGAACATATTGCAGCCATGAAAAAGGCTTAACATCCACACTAGAATTTTCAGGAGTAGTTAGAGAAATATAGTTCAAGCTTACTTTAAAGCCTAACTCCAGTCATTGTTTTCTTATAGAGTGAGGAAGACTTAAGAGAAGTATGGGTGTTTTATTTTTATAGTAATCATCAGGGGCGGACTGACAACTCATGGGGCCCCCGGGCAATAGGGGATCATGGGGCCCCTGTGTCCTTGCCCAAACTCAAAAAAGCCTATGAAAAAGGTACCAGGGGCATCTCATGGGGCCCCCTACTGACCTCGGGCAGTGCCTGAGTTTCCAAATGGTCAGTCCGTCCCTGGTAATCATGCTATCCTAGGTGGATACTGCATCTGTTCCCTGCTGGCTGGCTCTAAGGGCGAGAACTGAGCGATCAGACACCACTGATCTCACAGTTCTCTCTGCCGCTCTGAGCAGGCTGAGTGGAATCAGTGGAAAAGGAGTCACAAGAGTGCAGAATGAACGGTACTCCTATGATCCACAGAAGTACAGCCAAAAGAGCTTTAACATTTCTGTCAGGTATTTAATTCTGTATGTGACTCTACTGGGGAGATTTTCCCTCATGTCCTGTATCTGTGATGTCTGCAGGAAAATGGGGTTGCAGACACCAAAAGGATAGGAAGGTATGGACAATAAAAACATTCTCAGTTGTTCCGACCCTTCTCCATTCTACTAAAATTGTGTTTTTGTCTGTGTGCCTCTTGGAACGACTTCCCAACACTTGCTGTCCTGACAATTAGTTTTGACACAAGTTGGGCTTTAAATAAAAGCTATAAAGTTAGATTTTGGTACCCTACAATACAAGGTTCGCAACCAGCTTTGGTGACTTACAGTTTTGTTGTGTCGTGTTCTCCGTACAGCCACCCATCCTTCTCTTCTGGGATAAGCAGAGTAATGATGTCACCTTGTTGAAAGCTTAGTAAAGTCTTGTTGTTTCCAGTATGAGGAAAGATTGTTCTGACCTTTGTCCTCTTCATTATGTTCAGCCCTGTGGCCATAGACATAGACCGAGGCAAACTGCTCTCCTCATTTTCACCTGTTAGAAATAATGAAAGTTTGGGGAGGAGTCATATGACTGGGTGTCCCATAGCAAACCCTCACATGCTCATCTCCTATATGCAGCACCAACATGTATATACTCATTTTAGGTTCTGTGCAATTCTTATCATGAAGCAACTACCAACAGTATACTGAAATTACATTTCCTTAATTCAAAGACTGGACTTTTTGGTAAACTTAAAGGGCCACTAAATGAATAAAGGCTAATCGGTGGTCTCTGTGATGCACGTAAATCTAACAAGCTTTTATTACTATAAAGGGAAATCAGATCCAAGTATTTATGGATCACTACAAAGAAAATCAGATGCAGTTGTGACTAAAAGGAAACATATTTAAGAGAAATACCTGCCTACCTTCTGAAAACGCCAGTTGCCTGAATGTCAATCTAATATGCCTGTTGCCAATGCGGACTTCTTAAAACTATTAGGTGTCTGGCTTGCATACTAATCCGGTGGCTTCCTTACTTTGAGTTACAGATAAGCAGATTAGGAGTTCTGACTTCACATATTTGTTTGGGATCAGGGACAGCCAGTCCATAACCAGCAATTACAGGGACATTTGCGAATATTGGTCAAAAATTAAAAAAGAAATATATATTTAGCAGTTTTGCACTGGACATCATTGTCTGTACAATTAGCTCAGATTCCCAAGCCAATTACTAAGGGCAGCACCAGGTTCTGGACATCTGAAGCAAGAAAATGTCTCTCGTCCTTGCTGTTCAGTGTCTTGTAGCTGTAGAGTCCAATCCTGGTCATGTGAGGCATACTTAAGCTATGGCTAACCATGGCTAGTAGCCTGGTTGCTACACTGTTCCTACGCTTCAATGACCCCAAGCAAATATTTCATTTTCTGCATACTTGTTTCTGGTTAGGGAGAACTAAAATACTGAAAGCGTAAGGTTAAAATGATGGCCAGTCAGGAGGAGGAGGCATTGTTATTTCATGCAAACGTTTCCTTCAATCTATTAATCAGATTTTGTTTTAACTAGCTTTCCTTACTTTCTCAAAATTGCATGATGAAAGTTTCAGAAAAACTGCATTCTGAGCTCAATAAACTTGTTACAATTGTTGGGGTAGATGCCTAAGGTCTCAGTGACATCACTTCAGATGTAGTGCTTGAAATACTGATTGCACTGGCCTGCTCTCTCTTTTGTGATATAATGTCAGACATTAAATAAGAGCCCTTATTGTTTGTTTTTTTTTTGCCTTCCCTCCAATCCACATGCATACTTACCTTGCCATTAAATCCTGTGGCAAAATCTTCTCTTCACAGTCAATCATCACAGACCTCTATGGGGCCATCTCCAGAAGCAGATAGTCTCATAGATGATCTCTATGGAGATCCATTAGGCTTGCCAGCAGAGAAAATTTCACCATAGGATATATAACATTGTGGGGAGCTGTGCTGTGGAAAGCTGATTAATATACATCTGGAGTAGAGAGAAGGATAAGTTCGCTTATCTTTTAAGTAATGTGCATAACCTATGGTAAACATGTCATTAGAACATGCCATAAAGTATTCTGGTTGTTACCATTACTGTGTTAGTATACCTGCAGGCAGGTCTCCCATACCTGGTAATGATTTTATCCGGTCATATGCCGGCTTCTGGGTAGCTTCTGGATAGTTGAACATATCTACTAGGGGACTGGGATGTGCCCGGGTTGGAGGTGCTGGAGGCATTCTTAATGTGTTCCTGGAGATTGTGTCACTATCTGCAGCCATCTGAAACATATCCGTAAAATTTACACTGTTAAGACTGTTACATTATTCACATAGATAGAGACCTTATATTGCTTATGTTACTCAAAATGGATAAGGACTACTAAACCATGCAATGCTGCAAACTATGAAAAGTTCTTAGTAATGTATCAGGGTTGAAAGCTAAACAAGTGAAAGCAGTAGATCATTATTACCATATACCTAGAAAAAGTAGATATACCTGTAATATAACTATGTTGACCACTGATACACATCTGAAATGTGAAAAGCAAAACAGTAAAACATTAAAACATGTATGTTTCCTGGTGACAGTGAGTCCTCTATAAAGTTATATTTATACTCTAGAAACAAGGAAAAAAAAAAGTATCTAATTCTTTAATGTTGTTTGTATTTCTGAAAGTTATATGACCTATGAGTTCTGTACAGTGACCTATAAATTTGTTTAAAGTAGACTACAGCTTTAAAGTAGCCTGCAGGGATTTGTGTAAAATGCATTTTCAGTGTACTGGTCCAAGGATTTATATTCTTAACGTGGTTTGGTTGCAAAGGTAGAAGTTTTTTTTTACCTTCATGCCATTGTATGCATAAAGGTAAAAAACCTTCTACATGCAGCTCCCCCCACCCGAGCCTGATCTCGCTGATCCCCATTGGCTCCCACAGCTGTCAATCCCAGTGAGGAGGAAGCGGGGAACAGGGCTGAGACATGCTGTGTGTGACCTATAGACATACAGAGGTAGCTAGTAATTGAGTATTCAGGTGTGCCACCATAGGAAGCAGCTTCCTATGGTGGCACGCCAAGAGCACTGGCTGAGGACCCCAGAAGAGAAAGATCAGGGCTGTTCTGTACAAAAACCATTGCACACAGGAGGCAAGTATGACGTTTGTTATTTTTAATCACTTCCTGTCCAGACACTTTTACCCCCTTCCTGTCCAGGGCAATTTTCAGCTTTCAGCGCTATCGCACTTTGAATGACAATTGCGCGGTCATGCAATACTGTACCCATATGAATTTTTTACCATTTTTGTGAGACAGATAAAGCTTTATTTTGGTGGTATTTATTCACCGCTGGGATTTTTATTTTTTTTACTATGTAAATGAAAAAGTCCAAAAATGTTGAAAAAAAGTTTTTTTTTATAAAATTTTGCAAATAAATAATATTTCATCATAAATCTTGGCCAAAATTTATTCCGTTATTTTTTAGTAAAAAAAAAAAATCCAAATTAGTTTATAACCAAAAATTATAATTTTTAAACATTTTTATTTTATTTTTTTAATATTTTTTATTTTTATTTTTTTTTTTTTTTACATACTGTCACCCTAGCAGTACAGTGTCACCATGGTGACACTGTACTACTTGTGGGGGGTGATGAAGATTTATTTATTTTTTTACACCGATTGCTTTTACACCCATATAGGATGTAAAAGCAATCATTTCTCTTTCTCTCTGGCTGCATTCTTGCAGTCATTGAGAAGTACTGAGTGAGCTGTGATTGGTCACAGCTTGTCACATGGTACAAAAAGCTGTATTGAATAGCCTTATACCATATGACCTCTGTGATCATTCACAGATTTCACACGTAGTAAGCAATGATGTCACAAGTGACATCTTGCTTACTACTTTGCATGTGATCACTGATTCGCCAATCAGTGATCACATGATCGGGACATCATACAGAGGTCCCGTCCGACGATCGGTGTTTCACTGTGTCCGGAGGCCAGGGAGCGCGCACAGCTAGAAAAGGCGGGTGCCGTTTATGAACGGCAACCCGCCCCTGGAGTGCCACCGCCCTGCCGTTTATCAACAGCAGGCGGACGGCAAGAGGTTAAAAAAAGAAAACTTTGCATTTACATTCACTTTTAATATTCTCACCATGTGTGGCAAGTCCTACCCAGGGGTGCTCTTAGAGTATCAATTCGTACGGAATTTACAGATATCACTTGTTTCCGGCCTCACCAATACTTAATGTTAATATTTATATTCAAGAAGTTATCTTATAATTGTTTTCAGATATGTTGTAGGTAATTTATGGGACAGAGGATTTTTTTTATATGTACATATCCATAGTCTTTGGCTGGAGAAGATTTGTAAATGTAGGTTTTGCTTCTTGTTTCTAGATTAAAAAATCTGATATTCCATAAACTGATTTACTAATATAAGCTGTGCAACTTGTACATTTTAGCGGAAACTTTGCGGGATTGTCCTGAAAACATCCTAAAGGATTCTGTTTAACTAATCGATGAAAGGATTTCCAGATAATGTTGATCATTTAGATATAGGTTTCCTAGGTTATTACCTACATAATGTTAATTAAATTGCAAAGACTGCACTAGAAAATGAAAATAGCACAGTCATGCAGAATATTGAGGCTTGGCTTGTAATGAATGCTTTATCATGAAGGCAATAAACTTGATACACTTTCTAACACAACAACAAACATCAGGATAATTTATTACTGGCAATCTCACTGAGATATGCAACTGGTTGAAATCATTCTAAACACCTTGCTGTGTGACAGGCTAAAAGCATCCAATGCCAATAGTAGTAAGGAGACATGTCACCACTAGCAGCTGAGCGATGCCCTATACTAGTCTTACCAGTGCCTTCTTGTCCATCAGTGGAGATGGTTCCGGGGTACCAGAAATAGGAGTGGTTCCAGGAGTCTTCAGATCTTGGATCATATTACTGATATTGTCTGGGACTTGTGAGACATCAGAACATGTTTCCTGCCACTTGGGTATTTTGGTGGTGAGCAAATCAGTACTCTGTCATGATTATAAAAAAACAATTGTCATAAAATGATTTTCAACAGTGTCTGTAAATTACAGCTCATCTCCAGCTTATTAGGGCTGATTAACAAACAGTGGTGCAAAATTCCAGTTCTTACCCATAGCAACCAAATCAAATTTACTTCCCAATTTGAAAGCTGAATCCTGCTCATATTGGTTGTTAGCTATGGGCAATCAACCCGATAAAAAAAAAAAAATGGATTTAAGAAAAATGGAGCAAAAGAACCCCATTGAGTTTCATGAAAACGGGCTGAACTTGTGGAAAAGGATTACAACAGTGCGGCAAAAAAAATATTTCTCAAAAGGAAATTAACAATGAATCTTAATATCACTTGTAAAAATTAATGAAACCAGAGCTCTGTAGAATAGGCGGGTGCCCATGGGCAGACGTATTAATGCTTATAGCTTGATCATAATGATTAATAAATAGAGTCAACAAATTTGGCCATACAAAACTAGAGTGTACATTTCCTGCCCCTGAATGTGCTCACATCTAGGGCCTGTACAATCAAACACATGTATAATAGGGCCAAACTTGGCCTCAAAAAGACTGATCTAAAAGTCCTGCATTGTTCACACCATTGCAGCACATACAGGACTTGTACATCTGTCCTTCTTAGGGGCATGGACTGGGAGCTCCTGTGGCGATTTGAAAATATACGTTTTTCATTACTACCTCGACATACTGGCTAATCTATGGTGTGACATTACTATTATATCATTTGGGCTTAGCTCTCACCTTTAAGATTGTGCCTGTTAGATCGGTTGATTCTTGGTCATATGCAGGTATCCTTACCCAAGAGGCAGTGGCTTCCTGCTTGGCTGATTGGGATGCACCTCCATGAGGAACATTTACATGATCTGAATTCCAGCTAATTGCATTGTTTGGTATCTTTCTACAAATATCAAGTGTGGGTTCCAATGTATTGATTCTCTCACGTGTTCCTGAGGAAGGATTTCCAAAGCACGTCGAATCTACATGTGAATTTTGTTGGATCTATATATATTGTGAACCTCTAGGTAGAGAGTATTTTAATGTGTCTTGTATTGTTTTTTTAATAGAATTTAAATAAAAACGGTTTTATTTACGATACTGTTTCCGCATATACACTCACCAGCCACTTTATTAGGTACGCCTGTTCAATTGCTTGGTAACACAAATTGCTAATCAGCCAATCACATGGCAGCAACTCAATGCTTTTAGGCATCTTGACGTGGTGAAGACAACTTGCTGAAGGTTAAACAGAGCATCAAAATGGGGGGAAAAAGGGGGATTTAAGTGACTTTGAATGTGGCATGGCTGTTGGTGCCAGACGGGCTGGTCTGAGTATTTCAAAAACTGATCTACTGGGATTTTCACGCACAACCATCTCTAGGGTTTACAGAGAATGGTCAAAAAAAGAAAAAATGCTGTGTGGATGGAAATGCCTTGTTTATATCACAGGAGAATGGGCAGACAAGAAGTTCAAGATGATAGAATGGCAACAGTAACTTAAATAACCACTCATTACAACCAAGGTATGCAGAATACCGTCTCTGAATGCACAAAACATTGAACCTTGATGCAGATAGGCTACAGAAGCAGAAGACCACACTGAATGCCACTCTTGTCAGCCAAAAACAGGAAACAGAGGCTACAATTTGCACAGGCTCACCAAAATTGAACAATAGAAGAATGGAAAAATATTGCCTGGTCTGAGAAGTCTCGATTTCTCTAGAGATTATTGTGCATGAAAATGCCAGTAGATAAGCAGTTTTTGAAATACACAGATCAGCCCGTCTAGCATCAACAACCATGCCTTGTTAATAGTCACTTAAATCCCCTTTCTTCCCCATTCTGATGCTCGGTTTTGAACTTCAGCATGTCGTCTTCACCACGTCTAGATGCCTAAATGCACTGAGCTGCTGCCATGTGACTGGCTGATTAGCAATTTGTGTTACCAAGCAATTGAACAGGTGTACTTAATAAAGTGGCCGTTGAGTGTTTGTCCACATAAAGTCCATGACTACAAATTAATATTGGTGTTATAAGAATTTCTTTAGATTTATAATTTGAATTCTCACCTGTATGTGATAATAATTGAGGTAATTTGCAAAACTACAGTGCCTGTCCACCAGGAAGCAGAAACGTCTCTTCTCCTCCAATAGTGCGTCTTTGCAGCCCTCAGATATGAATTTCTGGATGTCATTCTGGCGGGAAGTGATGGTCTCCAAGAACTATATGTATAAAAGGAATAGAAGACTAATGAGACAGAGGTTAAAAACTGCTGTAATTCAAAGTATGACTTTTGATACATTTTCAACTTGTTATTAGTAGACAACACTGTTTTGTATACTCCTTCATTTAATGTACATTTTATACACCTTTGCACCCTGTGCAGAATAATCCCTTATTATTTCATACATCAACATATTTTACAATGCTGTATAAAGTGAGCAAAAGGGAATGGCTGGAGTTTAAAGAGTCTGTATAAGAAGGTGCTAGAATGTTGATGGCATTAGATACTGGAAATAGGATTTTAAACTTTACCCTGTTTGCTATAGGAAACTTGTATAAGGACTGACACAGTAAGAAGCAGAATTAATACAAATGAAAGAAAAAGGTAGAAAAGTTGGAGTTATAAATATCATAATAAATGTTGGTGAAAGACGGGCTGGTCTGAGTATTTCCAAAACTGCTGATCTACTGGGATTTTCAACCATCTCTAGGGTTTACAGAGAATGGTCAAAAAAAGAAAAAATGCTGTGTGGATGGAAATGCCTTGTTGATGTCAAAGGAAAATTATTACATAATGGAAATAAGACTTTAAACTTTACCCTGTTTGCTATAGGAAACCTGTACAAGGACTGACAGTAAGAAGCAGAAATAATACAAATGAAAGACAGGTAGAAAAGTTGGAGTTATAAATATATGTAATAGTTGCAAAGATGTATAGCACATACACTATTGTTTAACATACAAACCTCTGATTCCTTCATGTCATACTTGGCTGCATTTCTGGCCCCTTGGCTTTTTCTCCTCAATTTCTTTAGTTCTGACTGCGATTTCTCAAGAGAATCAATTTTATGTCTGTGTTCTGTCTGGAATCTCTTTAGTGTGGCCTGGCAGCAAAAGACAAAATAGGATTCAATATACTGAAAACACAAGCCTAGAATCCTTTCAGTTTTGTAGAAGGCATAGAGCATTGCTTTTATTTATCAAAATGGCAAACAATTTGGTGCAACATACCATGACAGAACCAAAATGCTCAAAAAGGTTTACAGAAATCTCCATTTAGCTGTATGCAGAATCATAAAGCATGAGGCCCTTTTGGGTGGTTTATTTGAAAATATCGCAATTGAAAGGTGAAAAACTAATTTTGGGTGTAGTCCTTGCAGTTAGCATGTGGTTGCAAGACATTGCCCAAATATATTGCTGAGAACCTGAGCCACTCAGTCTAAAGCAGAGGCAAAAATGCAGATGAAATTACAGAAATACAGAAATGAGTGCCAAACCAAAATCAGATAAAAGAGTCCAAGATAATTTTAATTGTTGTTAAAAAAAAAAGTCATAAAAACATACAACACATTTTGGGGCAGCACCACTCCCCCTTCATTACAACACAGGATAAAACTTGGATGGACTCGGAGAAAACAGTGACTTCACAGTTCTAGATTAAAGCCAGTATTGAATTCTCCACATGGAGTAACAACTTGAAAGCAGTTGCTGAGCAGCTTCAAGGGAAGCCTTGCTGTGTTGAAGCCACCTCACCAGAGCTATTGAGCTTGTTTGAAGTTTTTCTTCATCTGACTACCTTTGCACATCTAGTTCCCATCTGGGGCAGATGTAATTATGACGCCCTTCTCTCTTCTTATCAGCTGGTATAACCTCACAACCGGAGTTCTAAGGTCTAAACAGAATTTTCCAAATTCTCAACAGTAAATTGCAAGTAAAATTATAAAACACACCTCAGTGTACACAGAAATAAAACCACAAGGTATACAAATAGCTAAACACAGTGGCAGTTTACCCATATATGTCAGAGCTATCTGGAAGGTATGAAAGACATACTACTGCAGCTCACATGTTGAAATCCTAACAAGCAATGTACTCACATTCATGTATTTGATATCTTGTTCTGTCTTCTTCTCTAGTTCTCCAATTATTTCTCGGTGGAACTTTCGAAACTGAAGAAAAAAAATTTTTTTTTTAAAATAGACTCCCTAGAATGATGTGGTGGCCACAAATATTCTGTGTCTTATTTCAACAGATATTAGTGTTTTTGTTCCCCTATTAACCTACTTTGAGGTTTATCATGCTGTAAACAGCAACAACTACTACATGTTATAGTATAGCACAGTGGCAGTCAACTTACGTGACAAAGGGGAGGAGGGGGCTCAAGTGCAGATTGTGGCATCACCAAAGGGTATCACATAGAATTCAGTATTTAGAACATTACAGAAAGATGCCAGAGACTGCAGGCATGCTATAGCAGATGAACAGAGACTGAAAACATGCTATAGCTGTTGAAGACTGGGGACATGCTTAGGGAGACATTTAAAGACTGGAAACCTGTTTTAAGAGATCATGCAGCTCTTTGGTGATGTTGGGGCCCCACTTCACACTGCCACTGTACTACATCTGTCTCTACAGCTTCCCTAAAAAATTATTTGAGCCATTTTTATATTGATATTTCTCAGTGAAATTCTAAAAGAGAAGAGGAAAAACATATACAAGGGATGATGAACATTACAGAAAAAGTGAGTGTGTGAAATAAACCCATCAATTTACAACAGACCTACTAAAATCCAATCTAAATAATATTTTTCCTTCACCCTTTTGAGAAAGCAGCAAAACCCACCAAGGACTGCACAATAAATGTCAAAGTGCCGCAGGAGGCCGTTAGGGGCCC